AAAATAATTTGAATTAATTTGAGGTTCGGGTTTAAATTGGCCAATGTTAAAAAATCAGGTCCAAAAAGGCCCGATGGCAATAGTTCTGGTCCAAAAAGGCCGTTCCTTTTGTCTACGTGTCGTCCATGTCACTGTTCCGTTAAAGTTGATTAACGGTAACTTGGTCAAGGTCCAAATCAATAATAAAATCGTATGTTTGAGTATCGAATTTNAATTAATTTGAGGTTCAGGTTTAAATTGGCCAATGTTAAAAGATCAGATCCAAAAAGGCCCGATGGCAATAGTTTTGGTCCAAAAATGCCGTTTTCCCTCGAGAAGAACACCACGGCGCCATAGCTTCACACCAAATCCTCTAAAGTTCTTAGTTATTCAATTGTTCGATTGTTTCCTGATTTTTGTTCGATAAATGAGAAGATCTCGCCTCCTCATACTCTTTTGAAGAAGTCTTCTAAACCCTTTAACTACTTTTTTATGAATATGAAATTGTTTTATACTATTGCTTTGCTTTTTAGATTGAATAGTGATGTGTTGGGTTCAAGAGGAGTTTCGATTGGAAGCCATGATAAATAGGATTGTTAGGATAGAAAACTCGGTTGGATTCTTTACTTTGTTTCTACTGCTTGATCTAAAGTAGCTACCTAGTGATTGAATTTAGATTGATTTTTGCTTGAATATCACTTGATTTTACTGATCAAGTGATCAAGTGTGCACTTGCAGTTTAGGTTATTGTCATTTTGGATAAAACTTCTACACATATCAACCATATCATCAGTTTTCAAGGTTTCACACTTTTTTTTTTTTTGCACCTTTGCGTTTCTTCTAGTCTTGACAAATTCTTGTTGATGTAGAAAAACCAACATAATTTGTCAAGAAGCATAAACATACCTTTCAAGACTCATCTTGATGATAGTACTCTTAAATTTTGTAACAATGCATTTTGAAGCATAGTTTGAGTACGCAAAAGTTTGTGAGGTCTGATTCATGAGCATTTGCCGGTTGTTCTTAACTGGCTAACATGAAAGAGAGGTTTCTTTCATTCGCTCTCTCCTCATCTATCTCTCCTTAATTGGTTTACATGACCAGTAATTCTCAATGGAGGTTGAGCAAAAACACTCCCTTTAACATCAAAAGTAGTTGAAATTTAGGAGATGGCAAAACAAACGGAATGTAAGTCGAGTATGAAAGCTGACTCGTTTTCATGAGCTACTGCTCTTTAAAGTTACTGAGTATTTGGCTCTATCGAAGAGTCATGCTAATTCATGGAGTTACGAAAAGCTGGAAGTCAGAAAAGCGAGGCATCTTTTGACCTCAACTTACATCATGTTGCTTTGTCATCGCCTAAACCTCACTTAATTTTTGATGTTAAGAGAAATGGTTTGGCCAACTTCCAGTGAGAATTATCGGTCTTGTAAACCAATAAAGGAAAGCTAGCGGAAGAGAGAGAGCAAAGGAAAGGGACATCTGCTTCATGTTAACCAGTTAAGAATAGTTGGCGAAGGCTCAAGGATCAGACCTGACAATATTGTGCTTACTGGAATAATGCTTCGAAGTGCAATGGTTAAAAAAGGCTAAGGATATTATCAAGGGGAGGCTTGAAATGTAGGTTTTTGCTTCCGTTGGTTCTACTACAACGACAAGAATCTCTCAAGACTTGAAGAAATGCAAAAGAGCGAAAATAATAAATTGTGAAACCACGAGCGTTGATGATATAGTTACAGAGGATGAACCTAATGCTACGATTATGATTATTCTAGATCCCAATTTTATAATTTTGACAAATATAGAACGGAAGGTTCGTTTGGAGAAAACCAAGTATGGGATGGTTATGATTTTGATGAAATGTCCCGGGTTAATTCACTAGTCCATAGTGTTATCTATCAAGAATCATTTCAAGCTGTGTATTTCTTGGCTAAATAGCAAGAACAATGAAGATTTGGATACAATGAAATGGCTTGATTTTGGGTTTTGGAAGACTAGCGGACGCTTCCCCATTGGAAAACGCAGTATCAACCAGATATGGGTATGAAGACAAGCATGGATGAGATTACAACATATTCATGTGTACTAATGACTAGTAAATTGTTTAGCCTATATTACTACAAGAGTCATCATGTGATCTTGAGATAAAGAGGATAGTTCATATATAACAAGGAGATGGCTTTGAGCTATGATGATGACATGATTACGCAATATATGTATTGTATTTGTTATGGCATTGTGTAATGCCATATTATAATGTATGTGTAATATCACAATGCGCATAATAAAATGTGAATTATTCTGTCAGCTATGTCTTTCGAGTGAGATAATATAACTTTGATCATATTAGTCTTAGCAACTGTGGAGACGATGGTAAACTCTGAGC